CTATTCTGTCTATGCTATATTCTATTCTATGCTATATTCTATTCTATGCTATATTCTATTCTATATTCTATTCTATTGTCTATCTTCTATTCTATTCTATTCTGTCTATGCTATATTCTATTCTATGCTATATTCTATTCTATGCTATATTCTATTCTATATTCTATTCTATTGTCTATCTTCTATTCTATTCTATTCTGTCTATGCTATATTCTATTCTATGCTATATTCTATTCTATGCTATATTCTATTCTATATTCTATTCTATTGTCTATCTTCTATTCTATTGTCTATCTTCTATTCTATTCTGTCTATGCTATATTCTATTCTATTCTATATTCTATTTTATTCTATTCTATTCCATATTCTATTCTATATTCTATTCTATTGTCTATCTTCTATTCTATTCTGTCTATGCTATATTCTATTCTATTCTATTCTATTCTATATTCTATTTTATTCTATTCTATTCCATATTCTATTCTATTTTCTATTCTATTGTCTATCTTCTATTCTATTCTGTCTATGCTATATTCTATTCTATTCTATGCTATTCTATTCTATATTCTATTCTATTGTCTATCTTCTATTCTATTCTGTCTATGCTATATTCTATTCTATGCTATATTCTATTCTATATTCTATTTTATTGTCTATCTTCTATTCTATCTTCTATTCTATCTTCTATTCCTTTCAAACAAACAGAATTACAGCAGACACTGTTTTGCTAATTGTTAATTCGCTTTCTGAGCACTGTAAGAATAAAAGAACCTTTTTACAGACTGATACAGCAAATGAAACGAATCTGGTGTGCTTGTTTTTTAAAAAAACTGTCGTTTCCCCCCCCCCAAAAAAATGTCAATCAAAGACATAAGCCACTTCAAACAACCATCTTCCTGCAAACTTTCCAACCCACAAAATACTATAAATGAAAAATCTCCGAAAATTTCAGCAAGGGACAGGAACTGGAGAGGCACAGCGGGAAAGCCTGTGTGAAGTTTACAAGAATTCCAGAGGTTTTTAAGTTGTTGTTGTTGTTGTTGTTATATTATATTATTATTATTTGAAACACCAGGACCTCACTGACATCTGCAAACATGAGACTGGGAAATAGGAAAAAAAAATCGACGAAGTCCCACAGTGCAGTCCAACCTGTTCTGCAGGCAGCCTTTCAGGCAGCACAGGTCAACTTGGTTCATAGGTAGTAAACGGGCGGTAGGTTTTCTTTTCACCTGCTAAAACACAAGGCAGGTGCGCTCACCTAATGATGACGCAGTCCAGGAAGTCAGTCAGCCTTCCGTTCTGAGTGATGTAGGAAAAATCAGGAAACCGCCTCTAGAAAACACAAAGGAGGGCAGCATGTCAGGACTTTTTCTCCCTCTAGCTCTTTGCTTCCCACAGATCTCAGGCTGCCTGGACCATTTTGAGCCAGATATTGCAGGAGGATGAGCATTCAGAGACCCCGTTCACAAGATGAAACGCAGCAGGACCTTCTTCCATTGGCCAAGCCTTGAGCGCCAAAAACCCAATTGGACCAGGCTTCAAATATTTTGACAGGGAAACCGCCATTCAGAAAGTAGTTTGGGGTTAGGGTTAATGGGGCCAACCCCAGTTAGTGGGGGTTAGGGACCGTTCAGAGATGCATACCGTAAGACAAGGTCTTATTTTCTTTTAACCCTCAAATTAAGCACTTTATTTTCGGGGAGGCCTTATTATTTTTGAGGTGCGTGATCCCCGGCCAGATCAATTAGGGCGCCACGCCATGCGCCAATCCCACTTACATCATCATTAAACCCCATGTGCATCCCGCAATCCAGCATAACGTTCTTCCCTGCAATGGACACAAGGATGCAGCTGCGACCCACATCCTGGCCAGCTCCTGAAAAAAAGCAAGAGAGAGAGAGAGAAGAGAGAGAGAGAGAGAGAGACAGAGAGAGAGAGATGGACAGAGAGAGACAGACAGAGAGAGACAGAGAGAGAGACAGAGAGAGACAGAGACAGAGAGAGAGACAGAAAGAGACAGAGACAGACAGAGAGACAGAGACAGAGACAGAGAGAGACAGAGAGAGACAGAGAGAGACAGAGAGACAGAGACAGAGAGACAGAGAGACAGAGACAGAGAGCAGAGAGAGAGGCAGAGAGAGAGACAGAGACAGACAGAGAGAGAGAGAGACAGAGAGAGACACACAGAGAGAGAGAGAGAGACAGAGAGAGAGAAAACAGACAAGTGAATGGATTGAATTAAAAAAAATTAAGGCATTTATTGACAATCTCATTGGCATCTCTCACATTTCCATTTAATGCTGGTTACCCCAGTGTAGAAAGTTAGCGCCTGCCCCTCTTAGAAGAATGAAATGTTTTAGGAAATATTAAAAAGGCAGAATATTATATTTTTCCTAAAAGAGAAATGGAAATCTTAAGGGAGACAAAAACGCAAGTATTTGGTGCCCATTGAGAAGGACTGGACCAGCCTATCTTCAAAACAAAAAACCTTCGCCTCCAGGGTGATGGGATGAAGACATGACCCTCCAGGACATAATAGGTGTCAACTCCCAGCGTTGTCATGGGGAGAGAAGGAGGGGGAGTTCATTCCACACATACTGTCGGCTGGAGTCAGATCTCAGATTACTGGAGCAGGCTTGGGAGGGGTGCACCTCATAGGGGATTGTGATTTATGACACAGACTGAGAGGAGGGAAGGAACGGGTAAAGTTCAGCTATAAATCAAACAAAGCGTAGACTTGACTGCGAACAGATCTTGCCTAGGATGCTCCTAATAAATGCCTAGTTTTGCATTGGAACTTGACTTGTTACTCATGAATCAAATAGGGCATTTTTAGGAAACCTTACCATCGGGTTATCTAGCAGCAGAGCTCACCATATGGCACAACTACCTGGGAACATTACATCGCCAGGTTTGGTTGAAACATTGCAAGTTTCAACCAAACCTGGGAGCTCAGATAAAGTAAGCTATGACTCCTGCATAGCCCCATGAGAGTCTGACAGCAACCACTAGAATACATTGCCCTTGCCACAGGAACAGGAAGCTTAAGGGCAAAATCCCAAGAGAGGATTATAAATAACCCTCACTCACTCCATGTGGTCAGCTGCCCAGGAGTTCAAACCCACGTAGTCCTGTCCATCATCTATAAACCATTTTTCCAATCAGCCTCCATGTTTCCAGTGTCTTTCTCCCCACTTGGAACTGAACCAGATAGGTATTTCTTCCGAACAAGCCAGGAATTCCACAGAAAAACTGATAAGAGGATTACTGGATGACTCTTTTCTCTTCACTTTTTTTTTTTAAATTCAACCTGTCAAACTTGCCAAACTTCCACACAGGGAACTCCTATTTCAGCACCTCCAAACACAGCATAGAAATATGTATTTGGGTCAATCCAGAGCCAGGGATTCAAAGAAGCCACTGTGTTGTTTATTTAATCTTCTGATACTTCTCTAAGCGACCTTTCCACAGTGCTTAACTCGGGCCCTGCAATCCTCCACCTTGCCCAAGGTAAGGTGTAGGAGGGATTTGCGATGTCAGATTTCCCCACTTCCCCCCGCCCCATGTTTTATTTATTTTATTTACATACCATTCAATTTCCATCCAACAGTGTGTGATCGGGGGTACAGTTATTTTTAAACAATCATAATCCACATATTTGTAGTAGTATCCATCACAATAATATTGATAATATAATAATACTTAACATCTTGTTTAACAACTCTCCACGTTAATATTTCCTCTTTTTATGTCTCCTCCTTCCTGACTTTCTGTTGTCTAGCCATTGGTAGAATACATCCCACATCAAAAAACATTCAGTTTCTTCTTTATCCTTAATGTTGAGTGTTAATCTATCCATTTCTGCGCATTCTAATATTTTTTTTAATTACATTCTCACCTGACGGAATCTCATCGTTTTCCCACTGCTGTGCACATACAATTCTGGTTGCGGTTAGTATATGTAAAACCAGATATATAGTCCTTTTATCATATTTTTCCGGTATAATGTCCAACAAAGATATCTCTGGTTTCAAATCTATGTTCTGCTTTATCATTTTTTCCAACCAAGTATGTATTTTCATCCAATTTTTATATTTAAGCTTTTTGGCATGTCCACCACATTTCCCCACTTTTGAAAGAGACTCCCTTAGGGCAGAGTCTTCTGGTTCAGATCCCCAATTTTTTATGAACGTTTATGAACACCCCGAAAGTAAATTACCTAGGGGAGTAACTTTTATTTCAGGCATCTTGGACGGAAGGTGTCTTCCCAAGGCTCTGCAGCAATCACCGTCTCGGCATTACTGGCAAGCTTGACCAAAATTTCCTAGAGAGAAGAGAAAGACGGTGCTGAGCTACAGAAACAAGGGAAAAAATGAACACTTTTATTCTTTAACAGGGTGGGTTTGATTTAAATCACGGTTTAAATCATGATTTCAATCACTAGTAAAAAGGCTTGATTTTAAATCAGCTCGGTTAATTTAAATCATGATTTCAATCACCAGTAAAAAGGCTTGATTTTAAATCAGCTCGGTTAATTTAAATCATGGTTTCAATCACTAGTAAAAAAAAAGGCTTGATTTTAAATCAACTCGATTGAAATCATAATTTTTAGAAAGCAACTGTCATTCTGTCCCACAGCGATCCTCCTCTGACTGTTGACTCACCAACAGTCCCAATATTGCAGAATAGACAAGACAGCCTCCTGCTCCATAACTAAACTCAGTTTCATGCTGAATAAACTAAATTATAGAATACAGAATAAGAGAGTTGGAAGGGACCTTGGAGGTCTTCTAGTCCAACCCCCTCTGCTTAGGCAGGAAACCCTATACCGTTTCAGACAAAGGGTCATCCAACACCTTCTTAAAATCGTCCAGTGTTGGAGCATTCACAACTTCTGGATTATGAATATTAATTTGAATGCACCTTAAATGTAAAACTATCTTTAGGTAATTTTTTTTTACTCCAAAAGCATTTTATTGAAATTAATTTGATAAAAATATTTTTAAAAATCCGATTTAAAAAAAAACAAACATCGATTTTTATCCACCCTGCTTTGTAATAAAGGCCAGAGAGGCCAAGGACCCATGCTCCACGTCTGGACTACAGTTCCCATCGCCCTCCGGGGTTGCATGGCGATGCAGGCGGACGCAGGTCCTAAAAAGTGGTGGTGGGGGGACCCCCATTGTTCAACACCTGCCCCAAGCAGCCCGGGGATGATGGGAACTGTGGTCCAATCTGCAAAAAGGGTCTTTGCAACCACTTTTCCCCGGTACTCGCCTGACTCCGGAGCCCATCGCGCGCAAGACAGCCACCCCCCCCCAACAAAACACCCTGGAGTTTCGCGCGTGCGCAACAGGGCCTCCTTTGGTATATAATAGATAAACGAAAAGGGTAGATTGCCCCACGGAGCCTTTTCTTCCGGGTACAAAATGAAAAAAAACAACAGCAAAGAGATAAAATGGAATAGAACGTAAAATAGAATAGAATGCAGAATAGAATAGAATAGAGAATAGAATAGAATAGAGAATAGAATAGAAAATAGGAATAAAATAGAAAATAGAATAGAAAAGAATAGAAAATAAAATAGAAAATAGAATAAAATAGCATAGAATAGAAAATAGAAAATAGAATAAAATAGCATAGAATATAAAATAGAATAGAATGCAGAATATAAAACAGGAATAGAATAGAATATAAAACAGAATAGAATAGAAAATAGAATGTGAAATAATATAGAATAGAAAATAGAATGTGAAATAATATAGAATAGAAAATAGAATAAAATAGCATAAATA